GCTAAATATTTACTTTTTGTTTTATACTCATTAAATTTTACACCCAACAGAACATTGACTGCACGTTCGCTTGCAACACAAGCAAATAAATAATCGACTGTTACAGGTAAAAATTTTAACCCATATTCAATTAGGACACAATTAATGTTTGATGACAATTGTGGAACAATTTGTGTTATTACTAGGTAAATAAATTTAATTGTAAAATGAAAATTGTTAATAATCCAATAACTGACGAAAATAATAAATAAATTCCACATCCAGTTTGTCGTAATGTTGATTGTTTAAATACCAGAATTGATAAACAATTACTAAAAAGACAGAATGTAAACATTATTGTTACAATTATAATACAAAATTTAATGACCGATCCTCGTTTATTTAATTTAACATTTGGTTGTATATGGTAACCTAAAATTGAGTCTAATGAAAGAACAAAACCATACGTTGAAAACTGACATGATGATCCATAATAACATTCTGAACAAATACAAGTTGTTCGTGTTGGACATTTTATATTTTCTTGTACACATTGTCCACCATTTTCACATTGATTATAGCCTTGACAAATATGTGTATGATTAGAATTGAAATTGCTACAAATACTAATTGAATTATTGCAATTACAAATTAAGTTTTCATTATATACACAATAAACATTTTCATATTTGAGACAAAATAATTTAGCCATTTCATTCAATGAAAATGTTTGATTAGACAACCATAATAATTGTTCACAGTAGTTTTCTGGTCGAACAGTTATTGACAAATGATTATTTGTTGGCAGGTGTTTTTTAGCTGTTGTATCAATATATAAAAGATAATACTGCTTTTGATTTGTTTGGTCATAATCATAGATTTGTAATAATATCATTTGTATAATATCAGAAATTCTATCGTCTTTTAATTGTATGGTTAATTGATCTAGATTCAATGGAATACGTTCATAAAATGAAAATTCAATTCCAATTTCGCTAATGCAATGTACAATGACAGACAATGGTATTTTTGGTATTTGAAACAAAATATGGGTTAAAATTTTTACCTGTAACAGTCGATTATTTATTTGCTTGTGTTGCAAGCGAACGTGCAGTCAATGTTCTGTTGGGTGTAAAATTTAATGAGTATAAAACAAAAAGTAAATATTTAGC